GTTCAGACACACCCGAGAGTGTATCCGAATCCCTCAAACCAAGGCTCTGATACCAACTTGAAACATCCCAAAAATACGGCCCAAAAATTTCGTTTTTAAACCATTAATTAAACCATAATCATAAAACCATTCATCCAAATCATAAGTCATTATCTTAAATCAGAGTATCAATTCAAAACACTAGTTCATTTTATCAGAGTAAACATCCCAGGCTAAAACTTCTTGGTGTGTGCAATGCGATCATCCCGAGCTCTTCCCTCCGCTACCGGAAGTACCTGAAACCAAAAACTGAAAATTTTAAGCACGAAGCTTAGTGAGTTCCCCAACCTACCACATACCACATACATAACCACATACTGGGCCTTGCCTACTGCATCGGGCCCCGCCCGGCATAGGACTGATGTCCGGACTGACTTGGGCCCCGCCCACTGCATCGGGCCCTGCCCGGCATCAGGCCCCGCCTGGCATCGAGCCCCGCTCGGTATACAGATATGTTCTATTAGGCCCCGCCTGTCTCTGGGCCTCGCCCGCTACCAACAAATACAAGCATATAACATAACACATATCGTAAGATAAACATACTCTACTGTTCTACTGATCTAAGGCCCCACCTATCTTGGGCCCCGCCCCTGTCCTGCTACTGGTGAGTCATGGAACCCCGTCCACGCTCCTGCTGATAGTGAGATACGGGCCCCCGCCCACACTCACCTCCCTACTAACTCAGGCCTCGCCCCTGCTCTGCTACTAATGAGATACGAAACCCCGTCCATACTCGGCTAGTGATGAGATACGGATCCTCGCCCGACTCACCTCCCTACCAGGCACATACAAGTATCACAAAGACAACAAGTATAACTACACATACACTACTGCCTCGGGTACCACCCGGCATCGGACCGAAATCCGGAACATACAAGCTGCATCGGGCTAACCCCCGGTAACGGATCTAAATCCGAACAAATCACAATAAGTGACTAGGGCTAACCCCCGGGTCTTCCTACTACACATAACCATAAGCATAAACATAATGGGCCGACATTGTGGCCGTAGACCCATGCACACAGTGAGGAGACTCACCTCGCACTGCTGAAGGCTAGCTGAACGCTTCTGACTGCTAACCGGCACTTCTGAACAGTTGACCCTTCGGTTTCCCGAACTATCAATACCCAAAACAACATTTAGACCGCGATAATCCAAAAGTCAACCCTGGTTAAACTTGGTCAAAGTCAACTTCCAGTTGACTTGACTCGCCGAGTTGTTCTACCAACTCGTCGAGTCCATACTCCTCCGATCCATTACAACCCCCGACCTAACTCGTCGAGTCTAGCAAGAACTCGACGGGTTCTCCTTCAACCATTTTATCGGGACCATTCTCGACCGACTCGCCGGGTTGTATGAACAACCCGTCGAGTTCATCATCCACATATGAATGTGTCTATACTGTGACTCGCCGAGTTGTATGAACAACTCGTCGAGTCCATCTTCATAACTAAGGAGATTGCCTTGGACTCGCCGAGGTCCTTCCTGGCACTCGTTGAGTACGATGAATTTCATGACCATTATGGACTCAGACTTACTGAGTCCCTTTCCAAACTCAACTCATACCCTTAACAGAAGGGTTTTGGTGCAAGAACTGGCCTGACTCGCCGAGCCTCTCTATGTCCAACTCTATTCAGACGATTTCAGACAAGCACAGTGCATCCAATACCCAGATCTAGCCTCCTACGGTCGGGATGTCACACAAAGTTGCTACCTTTGCACCCATACATGGCCCTTTTTGCTCAAAATACCATAATAACCACTTAATCTTTGCATGAGGAGGTATAATGGCATAAAGCTTCCACCTTTATGCCTTCACTTCTCTAAACACCTCTGGATCTGAAGGGATCTAGCTTGGGGACGTCCAAATCCCACAAGGCGTCATTCTTGGTCCATAACTTCATAAAAAGGGACATAAATAGATGTAATCAAACTAGAAGTCAAGGAAGGAACTTGATTACCAAAATGAGCAGCAAATGGAGTGAATCTTCTGGATCTACTCATTCCTCCTTGAACCTCCAACCTTCTTCTTGTTTTTCCAAGCTTCAAAATGCTTCACAACTCACAAAATGGCTCACAAACTCAAGGGAGGCTCTAGGGTTTTCGTTCTGGACTTGAGAGAGTATCAAGGGGGCGGATGGAGGCTATAATGTTCCTTAAATAGGGTGCAAGTCCCGCATTTAGGGTTTTCCCAAACCTGGCCAACTAGTCGAGTTAGTCTTCTGACTCGTCGAGTAGGTCACTAAACCCGCGACCAAATCGCGCTCCTACTCGTCGAGTCACCCATCTACTCGACGAGTTACTTCCTCATTTGAAGTTTTCTTCTCTTTTCCGACCTTCTAAATTCAGGGTGTTATAAAAATTATGGAGTAAGTAAGGTAAGGTGAGGGGGTGGGGTTAGGGGTGTGTTTGTTTAAATAAATTAAAAAATCAATGGCAAAATAGTATTTTTAGGTAAGAGAGGGACCAAGCGCGTAACAAAAACAAACAGTATGGACCTTCTGAGTTAAAAAAATAAGTTAGGGACCAAACGCGCAAATTACCCTAAACCATAGGGACCATTCGTGTAATTTACTCTATAATTTACTCTAGTTCTTATAATTAAATTAGGCCCCATAGACATCTTTTCAGATTCAAACAGATCTTTCTGGTTGAATAGACCGGAAAGACTGTTTGATTTGCACAAAAAAATGGTATTTCCCGGTAAGATATGTCTTTCCCAGAAAACCCCAAAACCATATTTTTCTGGCTGAATGGGTGGAAAGACAATTGTGCCCAAACCTCGCATCTTTCTTTCTTTATTGGATTATTAATTTTTTTTAAAATAATTTTTTTTAATTTATTTTTTATTGGATTATTACTTTTTACTGGATTATTATATATTAAGAAATATTATTTTTAATATATAATATTTATGTATTAATAAATATTATTTTATTGGATTATTAATTTCTTTTAAATAATTTTTTTTTAATTTCCTTTTTATGGATTAAAGTTTTTATTGGATTATTATATATTAATAAACATTACTTTATTGGTTTATTAATTTCTTTTAGTTAATTTTTTAATTCATTTTTATTGGATTAATTCTTTTTTTTTGGACAACACCACCACCATCCTAATTTATTTTAAAAAATCTCATCCATCCCACCATTATTGGACATAAATCGGGTCAAGAATCATACGTTGGGTTATAAAATAAAATAAAATAAAATAACATAAAAAGTAAAATTGCTAGAAAGAATAACAATGTAACATCAACTTGAATAACAATAAACTACAAACAACTTAATCCACATTCTATTTCGATTTTAATTGATTGATGTTTAATTACTTTGTATGAATTTTTGTATTTGGATTTTTAAATGATTATTATGTAATTTTGATTTTATATGAAAATTTGTATGTTTTTATAATTATTCAGCAACTTCATCCATCACAGTATAGAACATTAAGGTAATATGGTCATTTTTCATCGTTCAGCACAGTCGGTCAAATGTACAATCAAACAATATGGTTTCTTTCCCGGTTAGAAAACTTTCTCATACAGCACTTTTCCAGACCGCAATTATCAAACGGGACCTTACTTGGGAACATATAGGTAGATATGTTGAAATTGGTCCAACTGGGTGTCATTTCCTTAAGAAAATGGGAATTTATCGACTCTATGAAAACATAACTAGTTTTTTTGCAATTTAGTTACATGAATTTAAATGTAAATAAAGATATGTTAGCAACTATTCGATTGAAATGTGAGATTGATGTCAAGGACATTGAGAATTTGAGATAGGCAATTTGAATCGGTTTAGATATTTGATACAGCGTGGAATGTGTTGAATAATAAAATTTGTTGGATCATTTTTCATAGTAGGTAATGATTCCTCGAGTTGTTGAATGTTGACTCGTAAATTGCTAAAAAAATCAATAACTTAGTAAGTAACCAAAATCATACCTACTACGAAAACTGAATAGTCTCCCAACAAATATTATCCATTCAACCAAATCCCTTAATGACATAAAAAGCTCCCTAAATTGATTCTTCAAATCAATTGCATGTAGTCTTTAATATTTCAACCAAATTGTCACTTGTCAACAAAACGTCTTCATTAACATCAAATTCCCGAAAATTGAATTCTCACTTTCATCAGGGGAATTGATAGCCAACTGGATCAATTTCAACATATCAACATTATCTTTCAATTTAAAATGAAAGATATATACAAGTATAAACAGATTAATTAAAAAAAATCCATTTAAATATTAGAATATTCCACGTGAGTAACAGGTCGTAGACATGACAAATCACATGGGATGATTATGCGGTAATAACCAGCCATTAGCATTATCAAGTTTTCAGTTTACATATTGTCTACCTTGATGAATATTAATAAATTGGTTGCTATTAATGGGTAAAAGAATTTCCAATTTTGGTTTAAAAAATGTTTGTCTTGTTATTTTGTCCAATTAGGCCCAAGGTAGTGGTCATTTTTGTCATCCCCCATCCCATCTTTGCCACACAACTCAAAAAGAAAAAATTTGTAGAGTCTCCTACAATAGGAGAATTTTTTTTAGTTAGCTTGTATAAGATGTTCTTTAGAGAGAAAAAAAAATATGGATCCACACAATAATTGAGAAAAACTAGTTAATTAAGAGCATTCACGAAAAAGCCATTTGAACCCCAAAAAGCTAATGAAAACGGAATAACTATTGGTGAATCTTTTTCATAGGATTTGTTAATTAACAATAAGATTTTCCAATGATTAGATGGGTCCTATAGGTTTTCATACAACTTAAAGAAAAAGTCCCACAAAAAACAAATTGAAAAAGTTACCATATTAAGCTTTTTCAATCTTGAAAAGTTTTTTGGTTTGGAAAAAATTATATAAAAAACCACAATCATAGATGCTCACAGCACATTGTAATATTGTATAGTAACTTTTTTTTTTAAATCAAAAACATATAAACCACCTTGAAGCAGTCAGAAATCTTCCTTACAATAATCCATTTTTTTTTTACGTGAACAAGTTATGGATACGCATGAAACAAAACAAGTAGTTTTAAGTCTTAGGTAATTCTCATGGTATTTAAAAGAAAAAACTGAGAATTTAATTTAATTTTATTTCCTCTTCCCAGAGGCGATAGTTAGCAACTCAAAGCTTCTAAGAGCATCATCCCCACGAGCACCTCTTGAGACTACAGGACGCGTGAAAGATGATGATTTGGACTCAAAACCAGGTTGAGAATGAAGCCTTTGTGTGGTAGAAGTAATATTTGTTGATATGCGACCACTTCCTGAACCCAACCGCTTTGAAGGCTCACCAGATGAACTTGGTCTGCTGCTGCTTCCCATGACTGCTCTTTTTGAGCTGCTTCCATTTCTTGATATCCGCCCTCTATCTGACTCACCATGCACCTAAATATATACTCACAAATGTTTACATTAGTAGTCAAATGTAAGAAAATTGCTTTTATAGGAAAAAATGTAAAAGTCAATTTTTTTAATTTTTACTCACCGCATCCTTGGAGGGTGTAACATTCTCTGAAGATCTATGCCTTGATTGATCACCATGCAAGCCGCTACTAGAACCATTTCTTCTAGTAAATGACTCAACTGCCCCTGAGAATCTATCTCGAACCTCTTGTTTCACTAAAATGGTATGGTATAAAATAATCAACCATTCAGATTTCCTTCTCATTCTATTTGATAAATATCAAAATTCCAAATCAAATAAATTAGCAACGTACTTATATTCTTTTACCAATAATAGCAACATGTTTACATTTTCTTTATACATAATAACATACTTATATTTTTTTTACCATTAATAGTAATAAGTAAGAAATATACAGTGCCCAACTATCTAATTTTTTTTCCACATCTCCAAATGTCTCCAATTCACTCTCATTTTTAAAAATCTTTTCCAAAGTCAGATTTAATATTTCTTTTAATCAACCTAGTGATATAATAAAAAAATTAATAGAAGTATATTAAGTAAAAAACAAAGGTAAACAAACCTGGGGTCCTTTCTGCTCTCTCTGCTGATATTCCAGGGTTCAATGGTAATTTTGCAGTTGTCTGCTCATAATAAAGATAAATAAATATATATATATATATATATATATATATAATATATATATATATATAATATTTCAGAAAAGATAGAAAATTAACAAACAAATAACTTACCCTTCCTCTAGAACTGGAGCCCACATGGGGATACTTTAACATGGTCCAGTCAAATATATAGTCAAACTGATAACCTGAACCAAAGAAAGTTTGACACATGAACACTTATTGTTCAATATACTGATACGTATTTAAGAAAATAATATACAGAAATATAATTATGTAAAAAAATATATAAATAAATTCTACCTTCTCTAATGAAAAGTTCACGGAAAAGCCTCTTCAAGTAAGAATAATCTGGTTTGTCCTCAAATCGCAAAGATCGACAATAATGGAAATATTGTATGAATTCAGTAGGATAAGATTTGCAAAGCACCTGTAAGGTAAAAGTAAATAAATAAAATAAAACTAAAAGAGAATAAGTAATTAAATAATAATTAATACCTCAATTGGAGTAAGCATCTTTTTTTCACTGATTTTATCATATTTCTGCTTCTTGGTGCCAGCTTTTAACCCCTGCCATGGAAGGCTATACAACAGCATACACATAATATAGATAAGAAAAAACTTAAATATAGAAATTTACAAATTTAAGGTTATATGCAAGAAATAGCAATGTACTTTTATGGATTTGTTTATTATTATTATCCTACTTCCTATTATAGCATTTTTGAAAAAACAAATGAAAGTAAATAGAAAGAAACGAAAGTGGGATGTGGTATACCTCAGATGTTATCTAAGTATTTAAAAAGGGTAAAATGGGAATTCCGCCAAATAAATAGCATCTTATTAGCAGAGGGTAGTTTAGGTATTTTTCTTATTTGGTTTGTTGCAACAGAGTAGTACTTTGTGTGATTAATCAAATACATTGAAGCTTTTGTTTATCCATTATTATTTTCTGATTGCAATCTATAAGTCAGTTCATAGCAGGATGCTATAAATTATAATAAACAAATATATATATAAATAAAAATACATTGCTATTTCTTGCATTTAAGCCTAAAAAGTAAAATAAATTCAACCTTCCTCTCAGGAAATACATGAGTACATAACCAAGGGATTCTAGATCATCTCTCCTGCTTTGCTCTGCAATTCATAACCATATAATATTATCATTACTAATCAAAATGGACAAGCTTTATAGGACTACTTTTTATGACAAGTATGAGGGCATTTACGTCTTTTGCACAGACAAAAAGTGTAAAACTAAGCACAAATGAAGATGATTCAAAATTCACTCACCAACTCCAAGGTGAGTGTTAACACTTGCATAACGAGCTGTTCCTGTAAGATTTTTGTTTTCCCTGAAATATATTTGTCAACATAAATAAATAAATAAATAAAGATAAATGAATGCAAGAAATAGAAATGTGTTTTCATATATTTGTGTATTATACAATCCTACTTCCATTTCTTTCTATTACAACATTGTACTTTTGAAAAAGAATCTTACTTTGAAAACTCTGCCCATATATAGCATTATACTTTCAAAATTCTTTCTTATTAGTGAAAATGTTTTGTATTGGATGACATTGTTATAATTGGGTATATTTTTCAAAGGAAAATGTTGACATGTTGTAATAGTGGGTTATGAAAGTAGCATGTTATAATAATAAACAAATCAATTAAAGTGTTCTTGTATTTATTCATTTTAACAAGTTTATTCCAATACCTATATGGTATATGCCTGTGAGTCTGGAGATCCCTATACTTCTTTGCAAGACCATAATCAATAATGTAAACCTGTTTTATAATAAAAAAAAAACACAAGAAATATGTTTCATACTTGTTAGTTGAAATTGTGTTAACAATACAAAAACAATAAATCCATGGACAAAAAAAAACTGTAGCTGTAATAAAGGAGGGGCATTTTGGTCATTATAGGAGGTCGGTGTTAGTGAGTTGGGATCTTTGAACCTACTCAGTGAGTATTCATTTTGGGAGAGACCTTGATCTCTCGAATATCAAGAAAAAGCTTATAAATTTGTAATCATGTCTTTTGATTCAATTATTCAACAATTAAACCCTAGAGAATAATAATGTATTGAAGTATATTAAGAATTTATTTAAGCACCAAGATGACAAGTGGAAAATAATACCTGATTTGCCTTACGCCCTAGACCCATCAAAAAGTTGTCTGGCTTTATATCACGGTGAAGAAAACCTCTTGTATGCATATATTCAACTCTGTTTATCTGAATAAAACAATAAAAGAGCGTAAGCATTGATACAATAACTTTTGTTTAAACTTGTTATAAATTTGAAATGCATAATACTTACTAACTGATCTGCAAGCATTAAAACTGTTTTCAGTGTAAGCTTCCGATTACAATAATTAAACAAGTCTTCCAAACTTGGTCCAAGAAGATCTATAGCCATAGCATTGTATTCTCCTTCAACACCAAACCATTTCAGATGGGGTACACCAGCTGCATCATATTGATAAGAATGTAAAATAACTTCTTTGATGTAATATATATCATGAAAGAACACCAATAAAAAGTTGGAATAAAGTATAATAAGAACAATAAGAATGGAACAGTACTCACTTCCTCCTTGTAGAAGCATGTACAATTTGGACTCATAGTGAAGTTGAGGGTGCTTAGTTTTGGTAGATTCCTGTAAGCATAGAAAATTCAGGACACATAATATAAAAATCAAGTTCTTTCACTGTATAAATGCACTAGAAGCTAAGATTGTTTATTTATGAAATCAATTTTTATGATTGCTAAGATATCTTTTGGAGAACTTTGATGTAAACGTGAAGTACTTGAGTTCATATCATGATCAGCTTTTTAGTCTTTAAGACAAAAATTTCTGCTATGAAGTATAGAATAGACATATTTCCTTTCTTGTGTGGGGTGTTTTGTCATGCAATGAACAGATCTATTAGAACATTAATGGCAAGGTTACACAGAAAATCAAATACCAAACTTCAAATAAAATTCACTTGCAAATTGCAACTTTATTTCAAGAAACTGTAAACTATATACATGCATACATACAGAATTATCAAAAAACAGCAGTAGGATTAAGTTACATGAAGTAAAGCCCCATACATACCAGCTTGACAGCAACTTCTTCTCCAGTTTGTACATTTACTCCTGAAAATACAGAAATCAAGTATACAGACAACCAAATCATTAGAATCTCAGCAATAAGGAGAGCATCAGAGTGGAAATATGTTGATAATAATTACCCAAATAAAGCTCTCCAAAAGATCCACTACCAATCTTCCTCCCAAGCTTAAACTTTCCACCAATCACATGATCCATGATTAAATCCGCACAAATAAATCAAATAATTTTCTTTCGTGCTTCAAATCTATGCAAAAATTCACCGGCTGAAAACGCCAAAATCCACCAGATCTACCTAAAACCACAGAAATGATCCGCTACAACAAAGCTCCAAAATCGTAATTTCCAAAACTATAAACTGAGTTTGACACTTCGATATGAAGATTCTTAACAATAATGACGACGAATTCGAGCGAAGAAGTTAAATGATAATAAACAAAGTTTGGGTGCCGATTTTATGATATACAGATGAACAAAACAAATGAATCAGTATAAAACCCTAGAACCTACATCATCGGGATGGTCAAAATCGTGTGGTCAGATATCAAAATCAAAATGTGATATTTGAAACACGTTAATCAAGGACCCGATGATGATAAATTAATGGATATATATACACGATTTTGTGCTGCCGGCGAATGAAGAAACAGCGGAAAAGTGTTTAAAAAAAAAATAAGTGAAAGCTGAAAGAGATCGGAAGATATCAATCTTGAAACAAGAAATCGACGGGGAAATCCTTG